TGTTGATTTTCCAGATGTCATATGTCATTCGACGATATTACGAAAACAAGTGAATTTAGTTAGCGACTAGCTAGGTAAAGTGCTGTACGTGTGGTGGTGAATATTGTGAGTGGTGTCATTAGCAAGTTTTTGATATTCGATTCTTTAATTCGGCAATATAGCGCGGAATATATAAAATATGGATTTATTGTGTCAACAGTGTCAAAACTTTTTTCAGCAGCTTCTCAGCAAGACGACGACGGCAATAAAAAAGTAATAACTACTGTGTTCCATAAACCAGCGGCAGATATCCGGAAAATACCTTTGAGCAATAGTTCCGTGCAAAGACAAATTGATGAGATGGCTGAAAACATTGAAGAGTCATTGCGCAATCATCTGAAGACTTCTAAATTCAGTTAAATGAGTCCACTTTACTAACCAATGAAGCATTGTTGTTGTCATACCTGAGGTTCATTAAAAATGAGAAAATATATTAAGAACTAATATTTGCCAGAAATTTAGAGATAGATACAAAAAGAGAAACTGGAAAAATGTTGTGATGAGAGAGAAACTAATTCCACTGAAGAATATTATATCAGCTGCTACGGATGGCGCTCCGGCTATGACAGGGCGTCACAAAGGCTTCATAACGTACTTAAAAAATAAAATTCCAGATGTACTCGCTGTACATTGCGTCATTCGTAGGCAACATTTGGTTGCGAGAAATTTAAGTGAGCGCCTCTCTCAATCACTGCAATATATCATCAAATCAGTCAATAACATCCAAAACAGCTCTGTAAATGACAGATTATTTAATCAGCTTTGTGTGGCTGATGATGAATATTTCAACCGATTGCTATTTCACACAGAAGTGCGTTGGTTATCAAGAGGTAACTATCTGACTCGATTTTACAATCTATTTGACTCTGTAATAGAGTTCTTGGAAAACAAAGACGAAGAATTGCACGACAACCTCATCACTTCAAAGAATGATATTGCGCACTTGACAGATTTGCATAAATTATTTAATGATGTCGATCTCCAACTTCAAGGTGACGACTTGAATTTGATTAAAACAAAAAATGTAATTGCTGCATTTGTAGCCAAATTGCTCTTATACAAGAATAATATCGGTAGACGTGAGTTTCGCAATTACCCTGCTTTGTCAGCAGTATCCTTCAACAACGTCGACTTGCTTGTTTACTGCCAACATTTGGAGAACCTCCACAGTGACTACGCAGAACGATTCCAGGACATTTTAAAATTGGAAATACCGGACTGGGTGTTGGTTCTTCTTCTTCTTCTTTTTCCATTAATGGCTTCAGCTGCCAAGGCTATCCAGCCAGGAGTTCCAGGATCATAGGTGGAGCCCACGCTAAAGTGGATTTTTCAAATGTCAACACAGCAGGATCACCCCAGCTGGAAGAAGACATAGAAGTGGATACCTAGAATTTTGGCTACAAAAGCCATTCCCGCAATTGTAACCTGAATTGTGGTCCATCGTTCAACGTTTTTTGATAGCATTCACATCATCGTATTTGTGTGAACGTGGATTTACTGCTGTGGCAACGTTGCCACTAAAAAGAGAAATTGGTTGCAGATTACCGAACGCGGTGACTTACGGCTGTTTTTGAGTAAATTCGAGCCTGATATCAACAAACTTGTTAAAAATCATCAAATTAATCCTTTACATTAGATTAGTTTTAAAATTCAAATTGAAATGTTTGTTTTAATAACATGAATAAAAGTTTTCCTAATATTACAAAATGTCATTTTCACATGACACACATAATTTAATTATCAAAGTAATGATTGCGATTGTGGTTCTTAAGATGTAGTAAAGTAAAAAAATTTGGGGTGCGCTTAGACAAAATAAGTTTGAGAACCTCTGGTCTAGTATGATATAAATTGATTTGAAGTCCCTGAAAGAATCTGTAAAAAATCAAAAGGTTAGCTGAAAAAACAACAATTATATTAAGCAAAAAAGCTGAAAATACAAAGAAACAAATACAAACAACGACCAAAAAATAAAAAAAATCAAACCATTAACACGAGATGAAAATAAAAAAATTATTNATGTCAGTTTCTGATCCAGAATTGTCTCAGAAATCCAAAAATGTTACAATATACAGGGTGTTCCATTTAAAAATTCAGAACCGGAGCCATTTCCGCTGAAACCGGAAGTGACCGGAAAGTGAAAAATATGTGAAAACATTCCTCTCCACATACCATTCAACTATACCAAATCTCATTTCAATTCTCCTAATAGTCTAGAAATTATGACTTGTCTAATAGATTCGTTGACACCCGGTGTATATATATACATATATATGTATATATACATACATATAGACATCACCAGAAGATGGCAAATGAGAGTTCGCTGAAATGTCAAGAAAATGGTCCTTGTATCGATCAAAAACACAGAACACGGAAATAAACCAAAAACAACCCATCATACTCTGTATATACATATGTATGTGCTATATACATATATACATGTATATAGCACATTACAGAAAATAATGATATTTCCATTTGTTTATAGAGGCAGAATAAAATATAATTGATTTGAAAAAATGCAGCTTTCATGTTAATCACTCATGAAACTTTTTTTTTATAGATGCAATAAAGTCAAGTTCAATTGCTAACTATTCAACTTAAAATATGTGACAGAAATGGTCAACTTAAGATTTTTTAAGTTTTTAGCGTTTCTCAAATACAACAGAATAATTAATATAGTTTTTGTCTGTTTTCAATTAGCAGGACTTTAAAAAATATTCAACTTTGAAAAGTCTAACTTTTAAAATATATCACTCATTGAATAAATTTAACTGCATTGCCTTAAATTAAAAAAACATTTAATTGTAATGAATCTTCCAAAAGTAACCCAAATGATGTGATTTTGAGGTATAAAACAGTAGGTTTTTGTGATATTGTTTCTTCTAAATCAAAATTGTTTTGAAGTTATTTAACTTCTTTGTGACAAATTCACTTCACAAGAATGTTATCGAACCGGCCCAAATGGCAAAAACTATATTACTCCCATTTCCAAATACCAAGTTGTGTCAAAGTAATTATCCAAGTTTTTTGGCCTAGCACTTCGTCTTTGATGTCTACCGCAGTAGTAGACGAAACGTCAGACATAAAAACCTGCGGAGCACGGCCAAGAAACCTGGTTGTGAAGTTACACGTTATTTATATTGTTATCATAAAATCAAAATGAATGAAAGAAAATTATTTCTTGGAATTTAGAAGATTTCAAGATCCCAGGTTTTTTCCAAATTTTCCACCATTTTCAATACACCCGATACTTTCAGTGCAGCATACGAGATGAGTCGATTGTATTTAGGACTATTTTCAAATAAGAACACCAGAACTGACTTCAACAACAAAATTTTAAATAATTTTCAAGCTGTCAAAGTAAAAAAGTTTCTGCTTTCTTCCTCTAATTGAAAGCAAATGAGAGTTCGCTGAAATGTCAAGAAAATTGTCCTTGTATCGATCAAAAACACAGAACACAGAAATAAACCAAAAACAACCCATCATACTCTGTATATACATATGTATGTGCTATATACATATATACATGTATGTATATGCATTTGTAGGTGTGTATATATGTGTTTGTATGTAAGTATATATGTGCTATACATTTTAATTGATGTGTTAGTATTCAAATAACTTATTTATTCATTATTTTAAATTTCATCTCTGTTATAAAGATTCTTGTCTTGAGATTAATAAAATTCATTATTATTATATAAGAATCCTCTATATGTTTACAACTCCTCTTTCAACAAATCTGTCCTATCTTTGCACCATTTTTATGTCATTTTCCAAATTTATAAAATTGATTTTTATTTTGAAAACAGTTTTGTAAACTTCTCAAATGTTTTTAGTGGTCTAATTGAAGATGAAATGACCAAAAATTCAGGTATTTATCTTCATTCCTAGGCTTTGAAACTGTTGATAATTTCCTTAAGCTAGTTTTGGGACAATCAACAGTGCAGTAAAGAAAATAATTAGTTTCAACATTCATCTGACTTATTTGAAAAATGAAATTTCGAAAAATTCATAGAAATTTCATTTCAAAATTCTTATTTTCTACTATTTATGGAGTTACTAGTGTTTTGAAGACATTTGCATACATAGTTTGAGGTATGGTTGATAAAAAACTTAACATTCTGGGATTCTTTTCAAAATAAAACTCATCAACGTTCTTATAATTTTTTTTATAGTCAACTTTGACATTGTCGAATCATTTTTAACACATTTAAAAAATTTCTCTGTTATTTTTATGCCTACATACTAATTTGCACTTTAAAAAATAAAAGTAATAGACAATATTCTATTGACAGGTGTATTTATGCAAAATCTAATTTGTTACCTCTTTTTCACTTATTTTACAAATTTTTATTACTACAACTGACCCTATACTCGAAAGAAGACTTTTGTCTGTCAAATTTCAACTTCAAATTCGCGGATAACAAACGAACATTTCATTCCCAGCAGCAAAAGTCTGAAAATCAAATATTCACAGCACAACCAAGAAACGCCGAAATCAACCTACCTCGAACAGCTCATTTATACTTAATCATCGGATTCGTGGGCTCGATATTCTCGATAATGTCCAACAAGACCTCGATGTCCGTCGAGCTAGCCACCGTCTCGGGCGACCCGAGCAGAAGAACGGGCATATTGTCGATGACGATGTCGTACTTGTCGCTGTCCGAATTGAAGCTGACGCTGCGCTCGGGATCCATCTTGTTGGTGAAGATGAGCGCCGCGATCCGGTTGTGCTTGATGATAACCTTGATCTTCCAAGTGGGGCCGGGCAGCTGCAACGTCTTAACGTCCGCGACTAGGCTGTGGAAGTCGTAGCCCAGCCTTCCCTGCTCGAGAGGCTTCGGAGTGGCGAATTTCAAGTAGAAGCGCTGCCCGGGTTTGACGAGCCTGTTCATAGACTCGCAGTTGAATTTGCGGGCGTAAACGCTGTTTTCAGCAGCTTTCATTGGATTCGTCTTGGGAACCTTTGGAGGGAACAACTTTATTTTGAATGTGTTCTTCGAGGCCCCCTTTTTTTGGGTTGCTTGCTTGCTGTCCCTGCTTTTCACGCTGCTTTTACCGCTCAAAACCTTCTTGGAGCTTTCTTTGGGGGTGTTTCCTTTGAAGGATCTGTTGGGCTGATTTTTCGAGGTCGAATCTATGCCGGAACTGTTCCTTTTATGCACGAGGGACTTGACGCTTTTTGTCGAAGGGGATACTCTATTAACGCGTCTTTTTCCCAGAAAGTGCTTTCCAACGCCTACAGTTAACTTGGGCTTACCTCTCCGGCTCTTGAACCCTGAAAATTAACAGATTTTTATGAGTTTTACTCTAAGAGCAGCTTCATCAGGACAATTTTCAAACCTAAAAATGAATCTAATGTAGACAACTACAAATTACAAATACTTGTCACAGCTCAGCTTAGTTGGAATTATCTTTACTTTTGACTCACATCAACATTGTTGAATTGAAAGATACATACAGAATTTATTGTCAAAATGCTTGTTGACAGATGTGTTAACAATTACAAATAGTCAAGATCAACATAGAAGAGAGTTGAATAATTTTAAAGCAAAAAATTTTGAGACAATCAATTAACAATATAAGTTTATGTATAAACTTGATTTGCGTTACAATAAAATCAAAAACTTATATATCTCGTGAAAGTTGGGCTGAAGTTTATACAGCAAATACCTTTGACGAAAGATTCTCTTCATTTTATGATACATTTTTATATCATTACAATTGCGCATTTCCAATCAGAAAAACAAAAACAAAACCAACCAAGGAACGGTGGTACACCCCAGAAATTAAAGTAATGCATGACCAACTGTGTGAAATGGAAAGGAAAAAAAAGAACTCAAACTGTCCCAAAGATATCGAAAGATATAGAACATGTAAAAAAGCATACACCAGCCATGTGAAACAATTTCAGAAACATAAACACGATGTACTCAGATAAACTTAGATCTAAAATCATCACTGACCCAACGAAAGTGAAAAAGTGGTGTTATGCAAATCTCTCAATGCTCGGCATAAGAAAAATAGATATCCTTTCCTTCAAATGTAAACTGTCCAATACATTACTTGAGAAAGATCTTTCAGACAAAAAAAAACAACTAACTGCTCATAGGTTAACACTGATATTACTTTCCTTGCTAGGAATCGCACGTTAAAAGGTGAGACACGTTAAAAGTTTGGACTTTGGAAAGTTGTCATTCTTAGGGGGGCAACAGCTGGTTGATGGAAAAGCAGATTTTTTCATAACTTTGAAAGACAATGATCACATCATCTACAGCTGTGGATGAACTTGATTTCAATTTTTGATTGTTCCAATTATTTTTTTCTCTGTTCTATATTTGATATGTTTGAACAGCTTTGCCACCTCACATTTATTGAGTAATGTCCACTGTCAGGACCTCTAACGCTGACAAACAACTAGCACCTTCAACTGGCAACTTTCTCTGATTGTATGAAAAAATCACTTTCACTCTATATTGGTAATAACTGGCATTTTTGAAGAACAGCTGTCGACTCCTTGAGAGCGAGAACCTTCTGAAGTCGAAATTAAGGCAAACTAAGGAATAACAACGACTGCCCTTTCAAATTACGATTCCTAGCACAAAACTTTTGAATAGTTTGGCGCGCCTGGATCTATTTTTCATACACTAGTACCAGTTATTCGTTGTATAAAAGTTGTACCCCATCTTATGGGACAATTTCACGTTGCGACAAACTCACTTTCGAGATTCACTCTTTGAAGGTGTATCCGCAAAACTTTGTTGTTTAGAACTGTGTCCTGAACCTTCTTCTGCTGGGCTAAAGGTCTTCTCGGTCTGCCTCTGCCTCTGACTGCTTTGTTGATCATTTCCTGAAAGGAAAATATAACCTATGAGGGAGAGGTTTGCATAAACAATCGAAGTTGCTCACCATAACAATTCTCAGCTGATTCGGAAATCTATATACATAGTTTCTGGAATAACTCTGGAGCTATTTCAGGAACTAAGCTTACTGTGATTAGTGATAAATTAACGATAATTTTATAAAATATGTAAATAAGATTGAAAACAACGCTAAGCGCCAAACAGAAATCTTTTTGACAAGTGACAATTGACAAGAATGACAAGACCAGATATTGACGCTTTTATTTTCGTACTAAAAAAGAAAATTTCCCTAATAGATCATTTCTAAGGAAATTATATGAGTGGGTATATATTATAATATCAGTGATGATTTTATAGACATTTTATATTGAAACTCCTACGTAATAATACGTTTGTTAATCTATCCAGAATGATTTCAGAATACTTTCAATGAAAATATTCTATATGAGTATTCTTCTGATGCCAATTGGACACCAACCACTATTAACAAAACACGGAACAATCGACCATGAATTCTCTAGAAAATGCGAACTCTCCAAGAATGCTATGATCGGAACCTCTAAAACGGCGAAATGCTGCAGAAGGTTTGAAATCAGTTTAAACTGGAGTTTAAGCAAGAGTTCAAACACTATCTATGATACAAATTACACAAAGATTTTAATTTCGAAACGCGTTTCACTAACACCGCATTTCCTTCATATTCATCAGTTTTTACACGTTTTCTCGCTATTTTTATGGGACGAAGTCGACAAAGCTATAACAACACTTGAACAAAAAAAATTGATCATGAATATATCTATATATTCATTCCAAAATTAGAGTACCTACTAGTATTTTAAAAATGCTATTTGTATATCAGATGCTTACCGTTCCAATAATCGGTTCTGTTAATTTCGTAGCATCAGTGTGAGGCTCTTCCATTATTTCGATGTTGGTTGAATGTACCAAATTCTGAAATATTTCTAGTTGATCATTCATTTTTCTAGCCCTCTTTATGACTGTCACGATCAAATGTGGTCCCTCAAGTAAGTNTGAGAATCTCCCGGTAAGAAAAAATTCCACACCATCAGAAATTTTTGTCACTTGAGTGTTTGTTTTTCCATGATATTTCTCTCAATTATTATTTTTAAATGCAATATTGCATTTGTGATTTTTGGAACATACAAAATTTCATGTTACTGTTTTCTGATTGCAATCATATTGACTTTGTCAACAAAATGTCATCATTTTAGTTGTTATCTTCTTCTGCATGTTTCAACAGCTCTTTTTGATAATTTTCAAAACTTTTTTCGCTCATCCTTGCCAAATCAAGAGTTTTTTCTTCAATTTCACAGATGACATTTTTGTGGGGGAATCATCATGCTCCTTGAAACAATCATCGCTAGTAACAAACGTTATTGAAATTTATATGAAATCACCATTTTTGCAAATCACTTGCTTTATTTATTTATGTATTTTTAGTCCACGTACTGGAATTTACCGTGGAACCTTCCGATACTGTAGTAGAGGTAGGCCAATCGGCAGTTTTAGACTGCGTAGTTAAGGCATCCCACCATCAGTCGAGTGTCCTTATACAATGGCTGGACCAGGATGGGTCGAAACTTACTTTCATAGGTGATTCATACAGGTGGGTAATTTGAGAGAGCTGACTGACTGTTCCTTCATGTTATTTATACATTGTTTTCGTTGTTACTCGTTTAAACTCAAAATCACCATCGAAGAATATATAAAGAGCCAATAAAAATTCGGAAACACGGGTAATTTCAGTAGAAAGGAAGAGGCAATGAACATTAATAAAATCTGGCTACCTGTTCCTAATGGTACACAAAGAAGGTCATTTAATCCAATTAAGAAGAACGAAGCCACGACCAGCCAATGATGTTATGAAACTGGAAACCAATTCCAACATTGCAGTTTCTACGTTGACAACAACTCAAGCACTTCAACTGTTACCTCATTGCCTGTGATGATGTCTACTGCAGTAGCAGACGAAACGTCAGCCATAAAGACCCGCACATTGTGGCCAAAAAACACGGAAAAAGCTTTGACATAGTTTTCTCCTGCGTTAAAGTTCATACTCTTTGATTAATTATTGTATTTTATATTTATGTATATGTAATATATGTATATACATATGATGTATATGTGTGTGTACGTAATGTATATATGTGTGTGCGTCATTTTTGTTTTTACTTTATCAATTACCTGTACACACTAATGATTATGTGAAATGAATATATCATAATAATGTATGTATATTAGGATGTCCTAAAGAAATCAATAAATATTATTATATATGTGTATGCATGTATATATGTGTATGCACGTATATATGTGTATTTTTTGGCACTTTCAACTTTCTACTTATTGTAATATAATTGATAATATAGTAATCAATCAATAATACTGGTAGGCATTCGAAGGGAAGAAGAAAGATTTTCGTATATTAATCAACGAGTGATTAGATATTCACTGATTCTATGCTTACTGTTATTCAAATACTGTTCACTAAAAGTAATTTGAATATACCTACTACAGTATCTCAGTACCAATACCAACTATAACGAATCAGAGATACAACCATAATTTGTGACATATCGACTATTGAAATCGTCTAGGAGAATACCTAAATATAAAATCGTTCAGAGGTTTCGAAAGCAGATTGTTATGAAAATTATTAGAAGAAGAATTCAATGATTTCATCATGTAGGTGTGCTACACTTTAACAACTATTTTACGTACCTAGTTCCTAGGTTCTTGAATGAAAAGCATTATTATGAACGAAAATATAAAATAAACATGTTCCTTTAGTTTCAGTTCCTTTTAAGATACTGTACCGGAATTTTGACACTTCTCGACTTTCAAAGTTGCCTCCAGATGGCGACGCATTACTGTCAAAAGCCCAAAATGGAGGCAGCTGTGAATCGGACGATTTTAGAGTGTTTGACATGACTTTATCCTAATATAAATATTTACAAAGTATTTTAAAATGGGTTGTTACATAAAATGAGGTTCAAGTGAACATCGATTCCCCGAAAATGTCACGAAACTCCAGAGATGTGTACGGTTTAAAGTACAGTGTTTTTCTGGTGATGGCTTCTGTTTTGACATCTATACAAAGCTCGATACAAGGTACAAGTCGGTTCTTTTTTATTTTTATTATCTATTAATGGATATTGACCTTTGGGAAGACGTAGGAAAAGCCAGGCTTAACTTGATTTCTTGCTATTGAACTCTAAACTTCGAGACATGTGAATCTTCTGATCATCTCATCAATGGTTCATTATCAGTTTGATTACCCTTTAAAAATGATTTTATGGTCAAATCCAGGTTTACGAACTTCCTTAATAGCTAGAGAGATCTGAAATTTAATGGGTTCTTGTTGCACTGAAAACATTTGGCTATTTGAGACTTTAATTTCAAGATGTATACAATCTTACAAATTGTTTAGTCAAAAAGTCTCGATACATTAATTATGCTACTTGTAATTGTTGATAGTCTGTGTGTACACGGCAGTCTGTCGGTACCTATATTTTTTACCTAGTAAAACCTAGAATGGTTAGTTTTTGGATAGGATTAATGTATCCAAAACAGATTAAATTGGGTAATCAACTGATTGATATTCATCTAACATAATTCTTTGGCCTGTAAATTGATAATGTAAAACTCAAATCACAAGCCAATGCTGTAAAAAAATCATCTGGCTATTTTTTAGTTCTTAGTATTCAGTCATGGAGTCTCAGTTACTATAGTCAGGTGCCATCAGAAAGTGTGTTGGTCTTACAGAAATGAGCCTTGAGAAAGGTTATAATGTAAACTTTCAAAATTCATGCCTACCAATTTTTAAAAATAATAAGATCCTGTCATTTGTAATTATTTCTAAATACAGGAGTAAATGTAAGGATACCAACATCATCCCATCAAGGGAAAATCTAATTCCTGGTTCATCTCTAATGAAATAATCTTGATTATATTGAAGCAAACTATTTCACAACAATTTACAAAATTTAATTACAGCAAAAACACTAAGCAATTNTTGAATATTGTGGACTGTGAAATGAAAAGTTTGTCAAAAAGTTAACTTACAACATATTTCTTAATTTTGTATGATATATTTTACATCTTCCTAGCATACATACATATTCTATATACACGTTATGATGTCTATAAGATACATTTTCTCAGACAATAAAGCACAGTGAGTGATTGATAGAATGATAATTTCCAGATCTCAGCTTACAAACGGTTCCCTGTACATAACTAGTGTTATAGAAGAGGAAAGACTAACCGGCAATTACCAGTGCATGGCAACGTTACCAAATGTCGGGTCCCTGGTGAGCCGTACTGCCAAATTGAGCATAGCTAGTAAGTTGTTGAAAAGAGAAAAAGGCATAATTGTAGATAGGCTGCACTTTCCGATTTCTAAAAAAAAAATTGGGTAGACAAACACAAGTATTTATTCTCCACATCACCTTCTTTGACCCTTTCCAGTTAAATAATCAACATTTTTCCTGTTCAGTACTTGTTTTAGTAATGGATTTGTTTTTAGAAGAAGAAGAAATGTGGTGTGATGAAGAATTGAGAGATTTTCGCTAAACAATTTTTCAAAATCCGTTTTGTGTGACACTCAGTTATAAAAAAAGTCTACCAATATTTGTTAATAAGTACTACCTACAATAATTAGAAATATTTAATAATTGGTCTCTTAAATGGTTTAATAAATTCGTTTTAAACGGAATAAGACTGGTAGAAGACTTTATACTTGATAAATCCTTTGAAAATTTTTGTTTTAGTGTTAAATGTTTTTGTTTGATTATTTACATAAAAACTATTTCGTATTCTGGTATTATACTGGTGGATTTGATTATTAAAAATTACAAATTTGTCAAAATATGAAGGTTAAAAGTTATGCAACATTTTGTAAATATGTATCATCGTTAAATATGTGAGCCTACTTTCTGTAGATAGCAAATTCTAGAGTATTTAACATTAAAGATATCGGGGTACTCCTGTCACATCTCAAATTAATCCTTATTGCGCGAGGTCCGACATCATCTTGCATCATCTAAAAAGTCAGTTACATAATCAAACTATATCAAAAATATTCTGCAGTGCATTCCCACTTGCTTTATTTTGATATAAACAAATATAAATTAATTTCTCGCATCCGTCAAAAAACAATTGAAGAACCCAACAATGAAGGTGAAAATACTTTGTTCAAATTTGAAACGTTGATTAGTAATCAGTGATGCCAACTATGACATAAAATGGAGTGATTCATCACCAAAAAGCAGTTCCGTGAATTTATACAAAAAATTATGGGAAAAAAAAGTTACATCGGGTGTTCCACAAGGTTCACATTTGGGACCACTGTTGTTTAACCTTTCTATCAACGATCTAAACAGCTGTCTCCATGAAAACGAAGCTTTGCTATTTGCTATTTAGAAGTGAAGCTGATTTATTGTGTCTACAAAACAATAAAGATGGCCTCTCTAACTGGTGTTTGCAAAATGGTAAGTGGTTGAATGCATCCAAATGCCAAATTCTTTGCTTTCACCAAATCACTTTCGAATATAGTATAAACAATAGCACCTTACATTCTGCTGTTGAAACCAAAGTTCTAGGTGTGATCCTAGACTCCACAAGTAACTATAAATCACACATTTCCACTGTAATTCAAAAATCTATGAAGATGCTTGGCTTTCTAAAGAGAACCACTCGTGATTTCACCAACATCACTGCTATTAAATCTCTTTATTTTTCCCTGGTTAGATCTCATCTCGATTATTGTTCCACATTTTGGTTCCCTCACTATGTTACACAAAAAAATGAACTCGAGGCCGTACAGCACAATTTCCTGCAATATATTGCCTTCAAAGTCTCAAAGAAGATGTGAAGGTGATGATAAAAATATTTTTCTTTTTCTGTAGTTTATATCGTTCAACAAGAAGGTTGAAAACTTTTCGGAACTTTTGAGGGCTGTAACTCTGGAAATGAGGGAGAGCACCGATTTTTTATATCGGACTAGTACTATGCTGCTGTTCCAATTTTTTGACAGAATCAGAATCAACGAACTTAGGCGTGCGCGGCTTTATAGAACAGTGCTTTCAAAAAATTGTTCTACAGCGCCATCTAGTGGCGAGTTACAGAAAAATTGATGGCCTAAAAACCTTCTCTATGAAAAATTACTTATACATGTCAAGTTTCATCACGATCGGTTTAGCGATGTAGAAGTTTATCACTTACCAACCAACAAACATCCATTTTTATATATTAGATTAGTAATCGATACTTCAAAGTATGTTAATACCTAAACCCAATTTTTTTTTAAATCCGATATGCAGTCTATCCGAAATTTCACCGAAAAAACACAAAAGCGAACTTACTACACCTTGCTTTGCAGATCTTTTGGGTTTCCAAGAGGAGCCCAGCGATATAAGCGTCTACCTAGGCCAGCATGCTTACTTTGCCTGCCGCGTCGTCGGAGTGCCTCCTCCGAAAATCCGGTGGCTCAAGGACGAACGTCCTATGGTGCTCGACGACCTCCGGATGGTCATCTTGCCGTCAGGTGCCTTGGAAATTGACGAAGTCGTCGAATCTGATCAGGGATCGTACAGGTAAGCGAATCGACGCTGGTGGCCCAAGTCTGGACCAGCAGCCGTCCACTCTAACCCAGTCCTCTCTTTCAGATGTAATGCCACCAGCTTGAACTCCCACAAGCTGAGCAACAAAGCTATTCTGCACATCAATGGTGACCAGGAGCAAGCCGCGCACGTTTCGGCTCCTAACTTTATCGCCAAGCCGCAGCCAGGCACGTATATTGAAGGTCAGAATGTGTCTCTGGACTGCGCCGCTAATGGCAATCCAGCGCCTAGTATTATGTGGCTCAAGGACGGCTATCCTATTGATTTGAAGTGAGTAAAGATTCACGTTTGGGTTTTGTTCAGTACTGAGACAGGTTTAGCATGAGTATGATACCAGACATTTGAAGTAACTGAATTTCCCGCTCAGCCTCATGAATCACCCTGCGTCTTGATTGAATATAGGTTATTCAGAAGCGTTTGGTTATGGCAACAATCTGCAGATATTGTTTTTTATTATTGGTATAGATTTGAGGGACTTCTTAAAGGGATAGTTTGAGAAGTGTTCGTCTAACTTCGTGAGCAACTCTTAGTTTATTTTCTATTGGATCGAAAAATTTATTTTCAAACTTGAACAGAAAAATATATAAAATTTACTTACAGAACACGCTTTACGTCCGCTCTGATCAAACACTGAAAGACAAATGCATTCGAAACCAAAAGTAAGCTAAAACAGCAATACCTGAAACCCAATCACTGATTATTCGTGTAGTCAAAACAAAGAGCCAAGCCGTTAATAACTCAATAGAAAGTCGATAATAGATATTGAATTGTGAGCTAACAAACATGTCATTAAATCAATGTCAAGTTCGTAGACAGGAGAAAAGCCACCACAGATAACTTTTATCAAAGCAAATTGCAGTATGGTCAGTGGAGATTTTCACATGCGTCAACAATTTGTGTATATACGAGGTAGGTTCAAAATTTCGCGGGTTATGTCTCTTTGATTAGCAAACTATATCGAGAATCACACTGGTGATTTTTTATATAGTTTGTATAACATAAAAACAAAATCGGTCTCAACACACTTTCCTTGAAACACTCCAAAAAAATTGCCAGTGGGAAGTGATGAAGTACTATGAAGTTGTACGTTTTCTCGAGTAACTGTCAAATAATTTAAGAGCATCACCCTGTATACCCAAGGCATCAGTATGTGAATATCTAGAAAATAATGATGTATTACTAAAATATCAGTCAGAATTCAGAAAACACCATTCATGTGAGTCTGCTTTACAAGTCACAATATCAAATTGGAAAGAATCAATAGATAAGGGACATTATATTATAGCCGTATTTTTGGATCTTAAAAGAGCTTTTGAGACAGTTGATCGCCACATATTACTGAATAAACTGCAAAGTATTGGTATCAGGGAAACTGTTTTGTTATGGCTGACTGATTATTTATCATAATGCAAACAGGTAACCAAAATAAAGGATTCGGTGTCATCATTTCGTGATGTCGTTTTTGTGGTACCTCAGGGGAGTGTTTTGGGACCTTTATTGTTTTCAATCTACCTGAATGATATATGAATGATATCCATGGTTGCGATTTCATGAACCTTTTTGCAGACGACACTTTGTTATCAATTTCAGGAGATAATATAGAAACACTAGCCGATCAAATGAATAATGAACTAACAAATTTTTGGGAAAGAAAGTTTTTGGCTTTCTACTACTCCATCTTGATACAAAAAAAAACAAGTAACAAAGTTATTTTTTTGCATGATCTACACATCCATGTATAGAGTTACTTAAGTATCAAGTTGTATCAAGCTGGAGTAGTAGAAAGCCATCGAACTAACAAATGTTTTTAAGTACATGAATCGCAATAAACTGAAACTCAACACCTCCAAAACAAAATATATGATCTTATCAACTGGTTATAAGCTTTCAAATACTTGGGTTTCACAGCGGATAATCGTTTATCCCTTCATGTTCATTTTAATTCATGAAAAAATACATTTTTTCTCAAGAATTTCATGTCAGCTTTCGATGTACTCAAAAATTACCTTATATAATCGTATAATCCAAACCCATTTTGATTATTGTGCTATTCTTTTATACTCATTTGACCAAAATAAGGTATCGGCTTTACATAAGTTATAGAATCGTGGAATAAGGATTATTTTACAAGTGAATAAGTNTGTGTAAGTCACAGCCTTAATTTAACTGATTTTTTGTACTTTCTTGTCGTATATATTCAACGAATTTTGATTGAGGTCTTGGGCTACATCCTCTAGGAACTCTCAGAGCAATCTTGTATAATATTTTGTTCGTTACAGCGATTTAGACAGTAGATTCTCACTGGTAGGAACGACGACCTCGTTGAGGATAACGAGAATCCACGAAGAAGACGGCGGGACGTACCAATGTAGGGCTGAGAACCGAGAGGACAGTTTGGATGAATCAGCTTTGATTCACATACAGGTTAGAATGACTCGTTTTAGCGCTCAAACTTGGATTTTTATATCGTTTCTCTCATCGTAGGTGCCCCCAAAGTTTCTGAAGAAGCCTCAAGACAAGGTCGAGTTCTTGTCCAAAGACGTAGAGCTGGTGTGCTCCGTTTATGGGGTCCCAGATCCGAAGATACAGTGGTTCAAAAACGGGGAGCTCGTCAAATATTCCGAGTATTACAAGCTGGTCAATGGGCAAGTGTTATTTCTTATCGAGTCCCGCTCGCCTTTTACTAATTCATTTTTCTTTAGGTATAATTTGAAAATTATGGGGTTGGTGCTGTCGGATTCCGGAATCTTCCAATGCTTCGCCTCCAACGAAGCGGGTAATATTCAAGCGGCAGCTAGTTTGAAAGTCCTTCCAAATCAAGGTATGTGAAAATGTAAAATACAGTGACAGCCCCATAACTTACGGATCATTTTTCGATGGTGGTATGTCCGTATACATGAACTTATGAGGGGCCCCGAGATGGTGCCTTGAGGCACTCCATTATTAAATGGGAAGTAATTTAGGAACATTGGGCCATTCATTAAAATTATTGCTCTGAAAAACTCATTTAGCGATACATAGATTTCCAGTTGATAAGTATTTATGTTTCGTTAAATAATATTGAATAAATAATTTTCTACTTTCGTCAAATATTTATATCAAATTCAAATATGGGAAAGTTAATCTTGAGCAAGAAATTAATTGAACAAAACTCGTTTTTCTGGCGCATTGAAATTATTTCAGAATAAAACTTTGGGGCACCCGTTTATGTAATTTGATGAAAGGTTGTGTCGAAGGAAATTAATATTTCGAAATAAAATTTCAAAACATTCCTCTCTCACATCATATACACACAGTAGGTTCTGGTAAATGCCCACCGGAAAACAACTAATTCTCAGGCTAATACCACGCTGGACAATGAATTATATTCAACAGACATTTATGCAGAATTCCTGACAGGAGTTAGTTTTGCAGATGTTTTTCCTTTACCCAGCAGCAGGACCATGCTGAAAGCAATCGAGTAGATCTCTTCAGTAAAGGAAAGATCCGTCCGAAACAGCAGAGGGCCTGGGATTCGATTAATTTCAACTCGGCTCGACTGCTTGCACGAAACCTTTGTCTAAGAGAAGGATTTTTGACAAAGAGAGTCTTTATCCCGTGAACAAAATTCCATGCGGATATAATTCAATGTCCAGCGTGGTATTAGCCGGACAAGTAGTTGTTTTCCGGTACACATTAAGCAGAACCTTTTCGAATTTTCACTTTCATTATTTGTCTTCTCTATTTTCCTATAAATTCCTGAGGAAAATTCAATGAAATTGTATGTTTTGAAGAAAGCCTTATGGGTGCTCAATATTTGACATTTTGCAACATAACTTATGGGAAATTTACTATACAGCTTGACTTTTATTACTTCATGGTTATTTTACGTTTTTCATTCTAATATTTTCAGAAAAAATTAGATATACTAACCAATTTCAGGTTCTGGTAGAAAAAAAAATATTAACGAGAATAATTTTAGTTCACTTTACTTAGCTTTTAATCCCAAATCATGAGGGAAGTAATGAAAAATGGGGTAAGAGAAATGACACAGTCTGGTTTTGATTTAGTTTGCATTGTTTTATCTATTATTTTTTTTTTCTTTAACTTCTTAATGATTTAGATTAATCTGTAAATTGTATGTTTTACAGACCAAATAGCTTTGTTCTCAATGTTTTTTTATTTAGTTACAATGAAAGGATTGCCTTTCAAGTATGTACTTACTGGGATTTTTAGTGATTTTCAAAACATTCTCTTCATGTTATACTTTGGCCTGAAATTTATATTTGACTACGCTTTTTCTGGGAAAGTTACTTTGTTCTGGAAAACGTGCCTGTTTTCCATCAAACTGGTAGTTTGATATGATTGAACGGAAATATAAAGAATTGTACATAAAATTGTATTAATTGTGCAGCTTGTCAAATGTAGCGTTCTAGATTTGGATATAGTCAGTCCAAGGAACATGCAGGATGTGGAAATGGGGAAAGTTCCTCAATTCGGGTTATTCAGCAAATGCAAGTTTGAACAAAATAAAGTTGACTTTAATTCATGAGTAATGAGTAAGTTTCAAGTCTTGGGTTTTAATTTTTAAAGGGATTCGTTTCTAATTCACATATTGGCAACAGCGCCTAGAATGCTACATCGGAGTTCAGTTTACCTAAATATTATACTTTAAAAAAGGAAAATTATCTTTATAAATCAACAATTAAGGCAAAATATGAATTATAGTTCAATAACACCACCACAAGACACATAAACAACAGTTGTTTTGTTATTTATTTATATAGAGCAAGGTAGGTTAGCTGCACAAAATATAATATGTCATAGAATGTCTCGGAACTCGGAACATAAGTAAACAGAACAGCACGCCTCTGAAATATGTCATCTTTGTTTGTCTCATACAGATAACAGATTCATTGTCCTTCATTAGCTATAACCGATGTTGCCAAATGGTGAAATAGAAACGAATCCCTTTAAATGTTGAATGCATTATTTCATTCCTCTTTTTTTAAGTATTTAAATAATTTTTTAAAGAAAAAGATTGAAATGATGAGTTTAAAATGCGTTGTTTTAGAGCTCTTTTATGAAAACTACTTGATTTTCGTCAGGAGGAACATTCCCCATTCTCAAGTATGTCCCTACATTTGACAAACTGTAGAATATATTCTTGTTTTAAAATAATACCCAATATGAATTGAAGGAAACAAAAGGGGGGGATGTGGGAATCTTCCAAAGAAAGGAAGGAAGTAATCAATTTGCATGATCTACACATCCATGTATAAAGTTACTTATTTTCAAATTGATTACTTCCTTTCTTTGGAAGATTCCCTCATCCCTTTTTTTTGTATCAAGATGGGGTAGTAGAAAGCCAAAAACTTTCTTTCCCAAAAATACCCATTATATTTTGAGTAACAAAAAGTCACTGATAAATGTCATACTTATACTATATTCAAGAAATATAAACAAAATAAACCCAGGAATAAAATTCTCCGCCGTCGTATGCTTTATAATATCGTCAGTTCCTCATGATACTTGAAAGGCAATCCCTGTTTATTTATTTACTTTTGTTAATTCTTTCTCCAAATAATTTCTTTTTTTTTTTTTCGATTTTTTCCTCTCCCCGCCTCCTCCCCAAACTAACCGTGTCTTCTCTTTCGTAACCCCTCGCACGCATGCCCCTCGTCTCGCACGCAGAAACCATCCCCTCTCCGAAACACGCCCCCTCGAAAAAAATGCTCTCGCAGCAGTCCAAGTCACTTTTTTCGTCTTTGAAATCCGAGGCGAAAATTTCTCGAGGAAGCGACCCCTCTTTCGATCCCCATTCCGCGTTCAACTCGCTCAAGAGCAGCGAGACCGAAATCGATCCCTTAGGGGACATCCAGTTTGCTTTTACCCCCTCCCCTGACGATCCCGTTTCAGCGGCAGGTTCGGGCGGGAAAGGCGTCGCACAAGGAGTCCCGGGCCCCCCACAGGACCTCAGGGCGCCCATCGTCAAAGCCAGGTTCGTCATCCTCAGCTGGAAGCCACCCCTGGAGAACGGAGACAGCATCCAGGCATATTCGATCTACTATCGGCAGGAGGGTAGCGACAGGTGAGGCCAATTTATAATGTAAGGTTTCTGAAAGCATAGTTCTAGTGTTAATTATTATTATTATCGAGGATTCAGTTTTTGATTCGATTCGTTCCATTAACAATTATATTCCTAATACATGTATGAATTAATGTAACTTGCTGACATCTGTTGTCAGGTTCAAAGTATACATGCGAAGGGGTTGTTGTCTATAGACGTTGGTCATGATTTACTACACAAACTAATCGATAATAAAAGGGCGCCCATCGTCAAAGCCAGGTTCGTCATCCTCAGCTGGAAGCCACCCCTGGAGAACGGAGACAGCATCCAGGCATATTCGATCTACTATCGACAGGAGGGTAGCGACAGGTGAGGCCAATTTATAATGTAAGGTTTCTGAAAGCATAGTTCTAGTGTTAATTATTATTATTATCGAAGATTCAGTTTTTGATTTGATTCGTTCCAATAACAATTATATTCCTAATACATGTATGAATAAATGTAACTTGCTGACATCTGTTATGTCAGGTTCAAAGTATACATGCGAAGGGGTTGTTGTCTATAGACGTTGGTCATGATTTACTACATAAACTAATCGATAATAATACAGTTGACTTCTTCCGTGATGATTTATCAATAATGATGGAAAAATTACATGAAATTTTTACCTCTTGATCAACAATAATTATAAAAACAATTCCTGGGAGGTACAGAGATTATTATTTTGACAACTAAGACGCCCTCTCTGTGAAAAATTGGAACTGGAAATAACGGTCAATTTATCCACCAGACACCGCAAGATGTACGTTTTTCGTAAAGTCTAAAAATTTAGTATTTTCAATTTTGTATTACGTGAAAAAAGTAAAACTCGATTTGTAATTGCAAGCAGAAATATCAGAAGAAGAAGGCGGCATTCCTTATCTTTTCAAGAGCCATATAAATTTGACAGCATCACACTTATTTCTTGTTTAATTTTGTAGCACTGCCAACAGAATCAACAAAAAAGTCCCTTGTTTTTAGTTTCACTTAGTTTCATAAACAATTTTGTTTATAACAGTATGTAGTTTTGGAAAAAAAAATATTTGTTTGAAAAAATAAATGGAAATGACAAGGGATAAAGGTATGGCCTTTGCACCGAAAGTTGAGTTCCTGAAATAGTCACTTTTTGATTTCGGAGTAGCCGTACTTCAAAAATAAACCATATTTATATTTTTATCATTGTTTCACACATGTTCTTAGATAGGCTAGGTTAGGTTTAAAATTCTGTCTAAGAGGTTGAACTACCCTAGCTATATGTTTCTTTTTCTAGGGAACGATTCCAAAACACGACCAGATCTAAACTGGAAGAGGCCAACATCGGCAGCCTCTCTCCTGGTCGTGTCTACCACTTCCGCATAGTTCCCTACAATGCCAATGGCGCGGGTGTGTCTTCCGAGGTGCTCACAGTGACCACTCAGTCCGAGGAGCACGTCGCAAGCGCCCCCAGAGACTTTTCCGTAAGGGCCACCAGCCCGAGGAACGTCCATTTGAGTTGGCAACCACCTGAGACAGCTAATGGCAGGATCTTGAGGTACACCGTGTATTACATGGAGGTAAGTGGCCGGCAACATAGCTGCGTGACGATTTAGGCGCCATCTGTTGATCAACAAAGCCACCTAATGGTCTTTTTTATTTTCATTTATTTTCAAATGGTAGAATGCTTATTTTGTCAAAAAATGATGTAAGGGAAATAATTTTTAGTGTCCTTCAGAAGAAGACGAATATGGATTTGCCGGTGCATGCATGATTATGACTTTTCTGAAGATTTTAGACAATTTGATATTTCACTTTAGGTTTTGATAATTTTTAGACGAGCGCTTCGATAGAACACAATGTTGACACGTTTGACCTCTCGTACGACTTGAACGGACTCACACCCTTCACGGAGTACAGTGTATGGGTGGTAGCCGTGAATCACAACGGCGCAGGAGCTGCCACAGAAGAGAAACTAGTCAGGACTTTCAGTGCTCCGCCTTCTGAACCTCCATTCAACATTACTATCGAGCCTTCCAGTACGGTAAGAAGAAGCGCAACGAATATGTCACTCCTCTATCACTTTTTTTTTTCTCAGAGTATCACCGTGAGATGGGAACCGCCCCCTCCGGAATCCCGTAACGGGGTCATCCTCGGGTACAAGCTGAAGTGGCGCCGCGCGGGTAGAGGCAAGGGCAATACGTACACGACGCAACCGAGCGACAGGCATTACGTCATCAACGACTTGGAGAAGGGCGCCCCTTACCAAATCAGATTGTGGGCGATGAACATCAACGGGACGAGTCCTCCGTCGGAGTGGATTGAGGTTGAGACATTCCAGAATGACGTGGATGAGAGTCGCGTGCCCGATAAGCCTTCCGTGATCAGGGGTGAGTTTGCTTTTTGATGGATATCGATGTCTTCGGCCCGAAAAGGCGTTTGATGGTTTGTTGCTGAAAACCCCACACCTGACACCAACTTCAAAAAATGTAATATCCCAAATTTCAATAACAAATGTGTCTTGTCTGTCACAATATCAATGTAAAGAGTAGATTACAGCGACCATCTATTTGATTAATGAACTGTAACTGTCTTTATGAAGGTTTCTTGGCATGAAAAAGGTGTAAGTGTCGGAGAAAAAACAGAAACATCGGTACTTATACGAGTTAAGAGACAAGTATAAAGTTCGTGTCCTATGTGTTTATTTATCGTTCATCTTTCAGTACGACCAACGTACGACGAACTTTACGTCATGTGGTCACCTCCCTTAAACCAGAACATCAGGGTGAGGCACTACATCCTCGGGTGGGGTAAAGGTATCCCAGATATGTACACTCACGAGCTAGAAGAGCGAAATCGCACCTACATCATAAGAAGGCTGGGTGAGTCGCGAAAAACCTTTTCAGGTTGTTTTCAATTATTGACCGATTGCTTTGCAGAACCGAACTCGGAGTATGTTCTGAGTCTGCGCGCCAGCAACCAAGTCGGGGCCGGCGCGCCGATCTACACGACGGTGAAGACTCAGGTCGAGCCTCCGCCAGAGCCGGTGGTCACGCTGTTCCCGCCGATGGGGCTGAAGGCGCAGGTGTTGAGCACTACGTCGGTCGTTCTCTATTGGACCGATCCCACCCTAAAGCAGAGCCAGGTAAGGAGGTGGGGGAGCTTTTCTTCAGAGAAAAGTAATCGATTCTGTTTCAGTATGTTAAGGATAACCGGTATTATATCGTGAAGTACACAGACGAGAAGCAGAGGAGGACTAAATATCTCAACGTCACTGATCTCAACGAAAAAGTCAAGAAACGCGATTGACCCAATTTCAAGGATTGAAATATGAAGTAGAGCGGTAGCTAGTTGATTAGCGTGAGTTGTTTGTTCTATTTATTTGATCTACCTCTATATGAACGTTGTAGTTGTTTCCCGTGGGATTTTTGTTTTTTACTGCATATCCTTTGACCCAGCAGGAAATCGCACATTAAAAGATAATACCTTGTTACATCTCTTAAGTTCCGACTTCTGAAGGTTGTCATTTGTAAGAGGCGACAACTGGTTCATGGGAAAAAACTTTCAACATAAAAATTGACATAATGACAATCTTAACTGTACCTTATGTTCGTCTACGCCAGGGGTCTCCAAACTACGGCCCGCGGGCCAAATCCGGCCCGCCATTGTCATCAATCCGGCCCGCGACAACCAATGATTTACTGTCATCAATCTGGCCCGCGACAGCCAATGATTACCTAATTGTTGTTACTATTGCTGTGATGAATTGAAAAAGAACGATGGAT